TGCAAATCTTAAAAAAAAAAAAAAAAAAGCTGTTCATATCTTCTGTTTAACTATTTTGTGAGTAGTTATGAGATGATAAACAGTTTTCCAGGTCGACAAATTTATGGGATTGAAATTATGCTTTTCCATATACAGGGTGTACCAAAAGTCAGGCCCCATAGGCCAATCACAACATGTTTTATTTTATTTTTCAGAGAAAATGTTACTGTACTTAGGAATGTTCAAAGGTCATGTGTCAAATGAGTAAGTGCTTAGAATAAAATGCCAACTGCTTTGAACATTTAATGTACTGTATATAATTAATTGTTGATGGGGCAGGACCTGACATTTGGTACACCCTGCGTATTCCCCTTCCCTTACATACCTGAGCCTAAATTAAAGTTCACAATACCCCTCCACTATAATCATGATTGGAGAGACTTGAATATATGCGTTTGTCTAAATCATTTTCTCCTGGTTCACCAATATAATTGTAATTTTTATTTGGAGGAATCAGTGGAACCCCATCTTTCAAGGGAGGCAAACAATACAACCTGAAATTTTGCAGGTTTTTGTGTGAGCTATGCATTCATCATGGCGCATTGGAAAGCGATATGCTGGCTGAATACATCTTTGGGGGAGGAGGTAGGAAGTCCACTGGGGACTTTTGGCTGATATTTCATAATGGCATTGCTTTGTTTGCCCAGTCTAGTGATGGAACTGCATTTAGGCAGAGATCATCATTCGGTCAGCTTAAAGATGTCTCTATCCAGATTGGCTGAAAATTTGTTCCAGATACAGAGAATGCAAATACTGTGATATGCATTATATGGAATGAAAGAATTGCAGGGCTTTAGCCACACCGCTTACCTCTTTGTCCTCATTATAAAACCAACAATGAATAACAGGGACACAACAAGCTATATGAAGAACTAATCCGGGAACTGAAGCAATGTTTACATTTGCTAGGGCTTATTGGTATCTAATGTATCTTTCCTCACTAAACATTACCCATAGCCAAGAATGTTGGCAGCTTAAAGATGAATTTAGGAGAATATGTAAAGTCTTCAGCAATATCCCACTAAAAGTGGTCACCAACTGGTCCATAATATTATGAAATGCTGCAAATCTTTCCTTAGGGAAAAGAAAAACAAGGCCAGTAAGGATATGTGGACAGAAGTTCCTTTGTCAGTGCTTCACAGCTATAGGCCTAAAGAAATCTCTACCAAACCCTATTAAACAGGTCCCAATTCACACTTATGAGAATACTGTCAAATGTTAAATAATTTTTATGTGGCAGAAATAATAAAACCCCTGTATATGTCCATGTGGTTCTGGAGACACAAAACTGTCCAGTATGTATTTTTCTATTGCAATCTGTACAGACATACTTGTGAATTTTATTTGGCACCTATTCTCCAGAGGTTTCCAGGAAGAATAGATGAATTTTACACTGATGCCAATCAATATCTAACAAGGAGATCCTGTCTGTTGGTTTCATTGGACAAATATCCTTATTTTCTAATCTATTATTATATGTTTTAAGTAGACTATGACTTATTTATTGTGGTTTCTTGTTTTTGTTGTTCTGAATGATCTTCTGGTGTTTGAATGTAAATAAGTATTTATATCTAGGTTGGTTGCCATTTCAAAAGGTGTACAGTAATACCTCGGTTCACGAATGCTTCTGTTCACAAACAATTTGGTTCACGAACAGCACCATTCGCAAAATTTTGCTTCCGTTTGCAAACTCCACATCGGGTGATGAACACGACCCGCGGCCATTTTCCCTGCTGTGACACATGGTCGTGGCTTCCTGTAGGGAGGGGTACTCTCCTCCCAAACAATAACCACCCCCCCACCCGCCTTCCTGTCCTCCATGCCAGAAGTCGCCTCGAGC